TGTTGGTGTTGCCCTGTTGGGCATGGACATTGACTCACGATTCTTCTGTATCATTCTCAATTGGATGGTTACTCGGTTCCATTGTACTATCTGCTTTGGCTTTGAATACTTGGACTTCAGTGTGATATTGCATTCTGGATTTTTGTGCTTCATCCATACTCATGTTCCTGCACCGGTTGCTTGGAGGCCGCGTGGCCTAGGAAGTCACCCCCCAAGAGGCAAGTAGGCCGCTATATCTCCAGGAGGAGTGAAGTGCTCCTCCTCATTTGCGGTATGCAAGTTTGAACGTCGTGCTGCTTGCGCAAACACCAGCCTTCAGAGCGCTGGAGCAGGGAGGAGCGCTAGGAGGAAGAAGGAGGCCGGGAGCTTCCACCGCAGCTATGGTGGAGCTCTGCCTGTAAGAGGAGGAAGTAGAGGGAGGGAGAGAGGTGAGGTGCCTACTTGGCTATGGTGACCACCATCTTCATCACCTTGTTCGGCGCTGCATCAGGAAGGGCCCAGTGGGGTTGCGCCGCACCAAGAAGCTCCGAGGCAGAGTCAGGCATGGCAGCCTGAGTTGCAGCAACATAGCTGCTTTGTGTTGACCTTGGCACAGCAGGGCAAGGCCCTGGTAGTCCGTCATAGCCTCGGCCTTCGAGAAGGAAGGAGAAGAGTGGCCATGGCTATGGTGGACCTCATGTGGTGCCTGCAGTAGAAGAGTGATTCGGACATTGATTCTGGTTCAGCCATTCAACATTATTATTAGTAATTATTGTTTGAATAAAGAGAGGACGAGAAAAGGGGGAGGAGAGTGATTGGCGAGAAGAAGGGAATTATCATTGGTCTTTCCTGGTGTACATCTTCTTCTTCTTCTTCTTCTTCTTCTTCTTCTTCTTCTTTCCCTCTCTGAGCTCTCTCTCCTCTCAAGTTCATTCATTTCTTTCTGCAATTGGACGGCATTGTACTTCCTCATGAATGTGTACTTCAAAATCGGCCTGGATCGTAACATTGGTATCGGAGCGGATTCTACTTGCTGGCGAGAGTTTACTTTGCCGTCATAACCCTAACCCAAGTGGTACTTGGGGTGCTCTAACCACTTAGGGTTAGGGCAGGAAGTTAGGGTTAAGTGGGGCAGCGTGGTCAAAGGGAAGCTGCTCCCTCCTGGCAGGGTCGTGTAGGGTCGACAATACACCCAGCTAGGTTGCTAGTGTGTGTCAAAGGGAAGTTGTTCCCTCCTGGACTCGGGAGCTGACAAAATACCCACACACCAGTCTGGGAACCCACTCTCCAAGGCGCTCAACATCGGCTGAGGGGCCTTGGCAAAGGTCTGGGCGGCCGAGGGCTTCCCCCCCGAGGACATGTCCGGGCTCCTAGCTCAGTCTGGGTGGGAGACCCTGCGGCACACCACAAGTGGCCGGTGTGGAACTAGAGCAGCAACACCAGCTGGAGGAACAACAAATAGAGTTTCTTTGGGAGGCCTCAATGCGGTATGAGAGAACACTAACTGTGTTAAGGCAACAAAAGGCAGGTGACCAAGCCCTACAGGAACAACAACTCCAGGAAAACCAAAACAAAACAAGAAACAAAAACAAAAAACAAAAAAACAAAAATGTGGAGGACGACAGCTGGCTGGGCAACTCAAGCAGCAACAACCTGATGAAATACCACAGTTGCGCAACCCATAACCCTTCGAATAGCTTACTTTCAGTCGGTAGATTAGATAAGGTAGTGCTGGCTCTCGATTACGAACAGGCTTGTGGTCGGACTACCATCTTCACCCGAATAGAACGCCCGGTCGTTATAGCTGTACTTGGCACAACTTTCAGCCCAGATACGGCAATAATTACCGGGCGTTCTATTCGCGTGAAGACGGTAGAATAAAAAGACAACGAAGTCCCCATGCAATAAATCACAGTATCCCAGTGGGACTGTACACTAATTGTGTTTGCTGTTTCCTTGGTTTGGGCCTTGCGGGACCTGATCCCGTGCCCTGTTAGTTTGTATGTTTGGTTTGTTAGGGTTCGAGCCCTACTGGGCGTGATCCTTAGATCTGTAGCTATTGTCTCTATTTGGTGCACGACTGTTTTGAGCCTTATTGGGCTTGAACCTTCAACCTGTTGCTGGTAGTCTCTACTTCGTAGTCTTAGGCCTTTCAGCCTTGTTGTTTTGTCCTTCTCTGCCCTCGGCCGGTAGGTCTTTCTTTTGTGTGTCCTAGCCTTGGGTCCCCTTGGTCTAGGTTTCCATCTAAAAAATACATAGAGGTAGTTCGTGACTGTTTGGCCGTAGATGTTTGCTGTTTGAACGGTCGGATAGGTCTGTAGGTGGCTGTTGTGTTGCAAGTGTAGGGAAGTCCGGTAGAAGTAGGCAGAGGCCGACGAATTTGGGGTTCTTTTTGTTGCTTTTCTTTTCACGGTCCTGGTGGAGGTCGCGTGGCGTCCCTGCTGCGCTATTGTGGGCATGTAGGCAGGGCATCTTCTCCACATGCTGCTGGCGGCCATACCTGGGGCCGGCCAGCTCCATTGGTGACAGCTCTGGGCTCAGCGCCTGATGAATGCTTACTCATATTTGTGTTCTTGTTGGGGTTTGGTCAGCTGCCACCGAAGCTGCACTTTCAGTGGTTCAGTTCTTCTTCCACGTGGCAAATCTTCATCTTCATTAAGTTGCTGTTCTTCTTCATCATCCTGGGATCTGCGCTCCCCTGCTGGGTGAACACTTCATCTGCATTGGGTGGTGCAGAGAGGGGTGTTGGAGTTAGGACGGTGTGTGGCGATTGGCAGGCTTGATCGGTTGGGTGCTTGCTTGCAAGCACCATAGCTAGAGCTTGAGGAAGAGGGAGGAAGAAGACGACTCCCGGATACTTCAATGAAATCTTGAAAATAATTGGTCCATGGGTGTTGATAACGTGGTTGGGATCCTTGCAAATTTTCGTGCCGTTGATCGACTTGGGGAGAGACGGTAATTAGAATTGATTTTCATTTCAAATTTTCAATTCTATTTTCGGTATTTGCGTGCTTCCGCTGTGTATTCTTATCATCCGCTGTGGTGTGGATTGCTCCCTCCACCAAAGGTCACTTGTCAGTGCACATGTGTATGGGGACGTGTGGATGCCATGTTGGATCTCGTTTCAATCAGGCACATAACAGCCATACCAG